TGGCAATTCTGAACACAATAACACTGATAACACAACAATCAAACTAACTTGTAAACTGGTCCGTTACAATGTAATAACTCAAGTTATGTAATTATTACATCACTAGGTTCAAACACACAGAGAACTCAACTTCAACACAATCGTAGTGCCATACTATAAGTACAGACATTTCCTGGCTCAAACTATCACAAAAAGTACTTTGGCGCAATTATGTGGCCAAATAAAACTGCCACCGTACGGCAGCAGCTGGCGGCACATGTCTTCACTCACAATGTGAAAATGTGCCGCTACAACCCAATGCAAAGAAATTCAAGACTCAGCAAATCCAGGTTGGAAATAAACTGATTTAATGTAACTGACCTTCATTAACTAAAACACTCAGAGCATCACCGTTAAGGATTGCAAACAGGAGTGTAGTTTACAGGATGAGGTGATAACAAGCTAACCCAGAAGTACTATCTCTTCCAGCGTAGCACATCAAACTTATGCCAGCGTCATTTCCTATAACCTCATTTGAAACAATATTGCAGGAAAACGGAAAATGTCTGAGCCTTTTATACATGCAGCAATTGTCTATATTTCATATTTCTATGATCCATGGATACTATGGGGCGCCATTTATACTGACCTAGGATACTGACCTAGGATACTGACCTTTTTATTCAGTTCTTTTTATTTATTTTTAATGAGGATAAATTTGATTGTTTTAAACATTTTTTATTTTGTATACTTTTAGGGTCGAAACGAAAATTTTGCATTCTCAGATGTTTTCCCAAAGCTGTTTTGCCACCCACCAAAAATGGTTATGGCTTTGGAAATGCAAAAAGAAGAAAATCCAGACATGGACTGTGGTGGCCCCCTGATGGATGATGAATGTTTCAGAAGTGAAGCTTATCAAAGGCCATACCAGTACCTCACACATTTTCACAATAAGGACAATCTTGACAACTTCACGTTCCAGGGTACTGAAGGGACTCATGCAAAGTGTCTTCAGATACTCTTAATCTATTGTGGTATAATAGATCCATCATGGGCAGAGCTGCGTAACTTTGTGTGGTTCCTTAATCTTCAGTTGAAAGACTGTGAGAATTCGGATTTCTGCAAATTTGAGTTGGTTGGAGACACTCTTTGTGGGTTCAAAAACTTTGTGGTTGAGTTCATGATCTTGATGTCCAAAGACTTTGCAACACCATCACTATGCATCACTGACCAGAGCCCAGGGAAGCAACAAGTTGACATCAGTGGACTAAAAGAAAAAGACTTAGCTCCATT